TCTTTAGAAAATAAAGTATGAAGAAAAATAATATGGTCATTTTGATCCAATGCAGAAAATGAATATGACAGGAGGCGGGCTGGCTCAGTAAAGCAGAGGCAGCGGGGGAAGATGGCGGCGGCCGTACCACAGCGGGCCTGGACCGTGGAGCAGCTGTGCAGCGACCCAAGAAGGACATTATCAAGTTTCTACAGGACCACGGTTCAGATTCGTTTCTTGCAGAACATAAGTTACTAGGAAACATTAAAAATGTGGCCAAGACAGCTAACAAGGACCATTTGGTTACAGCCTACAACCATCTTTTTGAAAGTAAACGTTTCAAGGGTATTGAAAGTATAAGTAAAGTGTCTGAGCAGGTGAAAAATGTGAAGCTTAATGAAGATAAACCCAAAGAAACCAAGTCTGAAGAGACTGGATGAGGGCCCACCAAAATATATAAAATCTGTTCTTAAAAAAGGAGATAAAACGAACTTTCCCAAAAAGGGAGATGTTGTTCACTGCTGGTATACAGGAACACTACAGGATGGGACTGTTTTTGATACTAATATTCAAACGAGTTCAAAGAAGAAGAAAAATGCCAAGCTTTTAAGTTTTAAGGTTGGAATAGGCAAAGTTATCAGAGGATGGGATGAAGCACTCTTAACTATGAGTAAAGGAGAAAAGGCTCGACTAGAGATTGAACCAGAATGGGCTTATGGAAAGGACGGACAGCCTGATGCCAAAATTCCACCAAATGCAAAACTCATTTTTGAAGTGGAGTTAGTGGATATTGACTGAAATAGCAATGCTTTGGATATAAAGACATCAGCAACAATAAAACATGGCCTTGAAGAAACTTATGTAACTAATTAGAGCTGGTTACTATTGTAAGGGAAGAGTCAACTGGAGAATTCAAGAACTCCGATATTGTTTACCCAATCCCCAACTTTTAATATATGTAATCCATTATAATTCCCTAAAGTTCGAAATATTTTACTACAGCTGTGTAAAATATTGGTTAAGGAGAAATGACTTTCCTTTTACCTCATGTTGTAAACTAAAAGGCTCAATAAAAACATATTCAGTGTCTTGAAAAAAAAAGAAAATGAATATGACAAAATACTACCTTTTTTTAAAAAAGATTTCTTTCTTTCTTTCTTTCTTTCTTTATTTGACAGTGGGAGAGACAGCAAGAGAGTGAACACAGGCAGGGGGAGTGGGAGAGGGAGAAGCAGGCTTCCCGCGGAGCAGGGAGCCCGATGCGGGGCTCGATCCCAGGACCCTGGGATCATGACCTGAGCCTAAGGCAGACGCTTAAGGACTGAGCCACCCAGGCGCCCCAAATACTACCATCTGTGATAAAAACTCACAGCACACTAGGAATTCAAGGGAATGTCCTTATTCTGATAACAGATAACCACAAATTAAAGGTAACACATTAAATGGTAAAATACTGAATGTTATTATTTGTATTCAGCATTGCACTGGCTTGTGCCATATAGTACTATAATGTAAGGAAAGAATTTAAAAGGTATTACAAGTAGAAAAGAAAAAATAAGATAGCCATTTGTGACAGATGATGATATGCAGAAAATCCAAAAGAATACACAAATAAGCTATCGGAAAAAAGTGAATTTATCAAGGTTACTGGATATAAGGTCAATATACAAAAATCAGTTGTATTTCTATGTACTAGTAACAAAGAATTGGAAAATGAAGTTTAAAAAATGCTGTCTACAGTAGTACAGTGAGCACATTGTGTCCTCTCATGATTCCTCATCATTGCACAAACTTTTCCTCTGATGCATCTGATGTGAATGCCTTTCCATCTACCTTCACACACCTGTTGAACATTTTTTTCCGGTCTCCAGGCTTATCACTCATAAAGCATTCTTTCTTCCCCTTCCTAAGTCGTTTTTTTGTTTTTTAAAATTTTATTTATTTGAGAGAGAGAGAGTGAGAGCACAAGTGGGGAGCAGAGGGAGAAGCAAGCTCCCCACTGAGCAGGGAGCCTGATGCGGGGCTCGATCCCAGGATCCGGGGTTCGTAACCTGAGCTGAAGGCAGACGCTTAACCGACCAAGCCATCCAGGCACCCACCCCTTCCTAGGCAGTTTCTAAACTCTAATTCACAAGCAAATTTTTTCTTAAAAAAAAAGTAACACAGGTGCCAGACATATAAAAGCGATAAAAGCAGAGCTTTTGACACAAGAATATAGAATGAACTCAGAGCCATGACTTTCTAAGAACATCTGCAAATCACAGATCAAAACTCATTAACATATTTTAGGCACCCAAAGACCCCAAAATTGCTACTATAATTAACATCTCTAAAAAATGACATCTTTCTCCTGCTTTACAGAAGGTCTGCAGGAGGAAATTTCTTCACCTCCAAATCAAACAGAAACTTAATCTGCATTCCCATCTTTCTGTAGGCTTTTCCCTCCAGCCTAAGATAAGGTTAATTTCTTCACCTGTGCTCTAACTCTAATTCCCTTAGAACATCGCAGAAAATTTGTCTCACCTAATGGTCTCTTCTTTAATTCACCCTCAGCATGTGTATACAGTTGTCCCGTTAACATGGAAATCATTTTCTCCCCTCTAAATACAGCCCTCTTTTCTTCTCTTCCTTTAAGCTTCTTGAAACATGTCTAAAACAGCCCACTAGTTCTCGCCTTCCTAGTAATAATACAACCTAGAATAATCTGGCTTCCATTCACTGTAAATCACTGAAGTTGTCTCCAGTACTCTCCTGGTTACTATTCCAGTTTACTCCTTCTTACTTGATTTGTAACCTAACACTACTGACCGTCTGACATTCATTTCTCCTTAGGCTCAGTGACATCACTCTTCTGGCTGTAGAGCCATTCCTTTTCATCTAGTTCAATTCCTCTTTCACCAACTCCTTATATGTTGTTTTCCTGAGTTTTATCTGTGACTCCTTTGTTTCTCATTCTAATCTGTACTCTGCTGACCAATTTCACGTACCATGGTTTTGACTACCCACTGTATTTTAATTACTCCTAATTCTAGTCTGACTCATAATTCCCTTTTGGATCTGAATGATCAACTTAACGTGTGCCAAATCACACTTGTTCACTCCTGTATTTCCTGCTTAGCGAATGGCACCATCATCCATCCAATTAAACAGGAAGAAGCCTGGGAGTCAACCTACCTTCCTTCTTAACTCACCTCTTCCAATTATTTGATTGTAAAAACCATGCCATATTTTACCACATTAGTATCTGTCACATATTCTTCACTTCCACTGCCCCTGCTTGAGTTTAGAGCCTCATTTACCAATCATTCAAGTTACTGTAACAGCCCATACTTCTAGGCTCCAGGTGCTCAGTTGTCCTCAACCTCCTAAACTCATTCTCCATACATTATTGTCAGAGCAATTTCCCTTATATATCATCTTTCATCAGTTCCATAATTTCAGAATCAATTCAGGTTCCTTAGAATGGCAGTTAAGACCTTTGGTTATCTGGTCTCTGCCTCCTTCTCAAGCTTCAACATCTGTCATTCTCATTACTTAGTAGATATTCTACAAATGCGCCATGCTGTCACCCACCTGTACCTTTACATATGTGGCTCCCTCTCTTTTAAGTATTTATCTCAATCTCTGGAGAATTCCTGTTCTTCCAGTGTTGGCCCTGTCTCTGGGACACTATACCTGGTCAAGCTCCCTTGGTTAGGCTCCATTCCCTTCTTTCTGAATCCTGTGCAAATCTCTACAAGATGTTTTGTAACACAGTATCATTGTAACATCTCTTTCTCCATGAAAACTTCAACACATGATGATAATTTGCTTAATTACTCTCTATTCCCTTAACCCCATCCTCTCAGTTCCTGACTTCTTGAAGATTAGGACCTGTTTCTTCTGTACAATTTCCAGTGCCCGGGATAGTACCTGGCTCAACCCTAGGATTAAGCAAATATTTACTGAGTGAATCATTTCTAAGGCTTAGAATTATTTCCTTTATTTGCTTTTGCAGTCTGAATTTTTTTTTTTAAAAATCTGAAAACCTCAAATAGGGAAAACATGCTTTTATTTCATGAAATGGATTTCTTTTCAAGACTTTGCCACAGTGACATGTTCTTTAAATTATTTCTTAGGATTTCTTTTGCAGCCAACTAAAAAAATATTAATAGCTTTAACCTTGAAGTGACTGCCAAAAAACCGTATTTTTTCTACTTAAATTAACATGCTGTTCGGAACACAGCAAGTACAGTTCAATAATAAATGACTTCAAGGCAACAAAAGTAATTTTGAAACAAAATGAGAAATTGTGCAAAAAAATTTTGGGAGACTGTTAGATGTAGTTTGGAAATAACTAGAATAAAGGAGTAAGAGAACTCATTTTTTTTCTTTCTCTTTTTTAATGAAAACCATGCACAAAGTTTGACAACAGTTTAGGAAAAGGCAGATTCCAGAGACTGAGGTAGTTTGCAGGGTTTTTTTTTTTTTTTAAATCTATTATTTGGTCTACATATGCATATATTTTAAGATCAGTTCTGCTTGCTATTAAAATGTTAATATGTTAATGTTAATAAATTCTAATAAATATGCTGCTGGCTTATACAGTTGGTGTCTTTCTAATGAGAAATCCAGCACTCCTACACCCAGATTTTTCTCATGTTTACATATCACATATAGTGTATAATGCTGTATAAAGAGATAGAAAAACCCCACCTTTTATCTTACAAATGGTCAAAATTGTGATTTTGCAATCAAATTACAATTGTGATTTCCTTGTCTTGGGATATTTTAAAAAGTGACTGACAGGTATGAAAGTTTTCCACATATTTATCACATAGTCAGAGCTTTTTATCCTTAGAATTTAATATCTGATGAAACAAAATTAAAATTGAAAAGTTTTCTCATGTTCATGACATTTGTTAAATCAATCTCATGTATGTATACTCTGCTGAGCTTTGGTTTAAGGCTTTCACACATGCAAATCTACTTTCAAGGAATCCTCTTCAATGTGGATTTTATAATGATTAGTAAGTGATGACCTCTGGCTGAATAGTTTCCCACATGCATTACATTCATACGGTTTCTCTCCAGTATGAATTCTCTGATGGGCAATAAGTGATGAGCTTTGTCTAAAAGTTTTCCCACATGTGTTACATTCAAAGGGTTTTTCTCCTGTATGAATCCTTTGATGCTGAATAAGAGCTGCACTTTGGCCGAAAGATATCCCACATTCCAGACATCGATATGGTTTCTCTCCTGTGTGAATTCTCTGATGATTACTAAGAGATGAGTTACACCTGAATGTTTTCCCGCACTCATTGCATTTATAGGGTCTTTCTCCAGTGTGCATCCTCTGATGTTGAATGAGAGCTGAACTCTGTCGGAAGGCTTTCCCACACACTTTACATTTACATGGTTTCTCTCCAGTGTGAATTCTTTCATGAATGATAAGCGTTGAGTGAGAACTTAAGGCTTTGCCACATTCATTACAGTTATACAGTTTCTCACCAGTATGAATTATCCGGTGTCTATTAAGTCTTGAAATAGAAGTGAAACCTTTTCCACACTCGTTACATCGATAGGGCTTTTCTCCAGTGTGAATTCTTTCGTGCTGGATAAGAGACGCACTCTGACTGAAGGCTCTCCCACATTCACTGCACTTGAAAGGTTTCTCTCCCGTGTGAATCCTCTGATGATAACGAAGGGATGAGCTAGACTTAAAGGTGTTGCCACATTCATTACACAAATAGGACTTCTTTCGGAGATGAATTCTCTGACACCCGGGAAGGGATGCGCTGGATGCCTTCCTACCTGGGTTATATCTATGGGGATTTTCTCGAGCATGGATTTTTTGATGTATAAAAAGGCCAGACCTTCTGCTGAAGGATTTACCACATTCTTTACATCTATAGGATTTCTCCACAGTGTGGATTCTTAGATGTTTACAAAGGGATGCACTATGACTGAAAGCTTTCCCACATTCTTTACAGATGTAGGGTTTCTCTCCAGTATGAGTTCTTTGATGCTGAATAAGAGCTGAACTTTGGCTGAAAGCTTTCAAACATTCTTTACATTTAAATAATTTCTCTCCAGTGTGGTTTTTCTGATGTTTACGAAGGGAAGAATTGTGAATGAAGGCTTTTTCACATATATTACATTTATACCGCTTCTCTGCTGTTTTGATTTTTGGTTGGTTAAGTAAGTTTGAATTCTGCTTGAAACTATTTCTTTGTATTTCATATTTTGAGGGTGTTTTTTCCCTAGCAACCCTCTGTTGCTTAACAAAGACTGAGTTCAGGCTGAAATTTTGGCCAAAGTTGGTATTTTTATGGCTTCTTTCTACAGTGAGGATTTTTGTATGGGTGATTGAAATTATTTGTAAACTTTCTTTTTTGTCCTTTTGTTTCTTTAATCTGTCTTCATATATGCAGGGTTTTTCTGATATGAAATTCCAGGGTTCATCCCTTTTGAGTCTTTTCCTTCTAAGCCCCTGAAATGATGAATCTTGGGTTTGAGTTGACTTTGTAGTTTTAGGACTGCTCTTACATCCTGGGGGAAAAAAAAATCACTAATGATTCACATGATTGGCTGAGACTTAATGTGTAGAAAGAATAAATATTAATGATATTTAAATAACGGCTTGCTTTCTGGCTAATAGATACTAGCAAGAGGAATAAATAGGAAAGTAACATATAAAACAATAATGGATGAGGGCAGAAGGACTAGGGTGACTAAAAGAATAAAGGAAGCTAATTTAAGGAAGGGAAAAGTGTATGAGTGACCAGGAGAATGAATGGGGAGACAGGATTAGGAGGGTATGAATTAAGCACAGTCTGGTATCCAAAGCCTATGACAGACTTATACTTTATTTATATGACATTGTTCTCATTTATGTAATTATTTCTAAGGTTGAATGTCATTCCTCCTTTTTCTACACACCAAACTTCTCTGTAGCCTTCAGACTCAGTTCCAGTGTTAATTGCTCTGTGTACTCTTTCATGAATCCAGCTCCAACAATCCATTCCCCTTATTATACCACTTACTAAGGTATATTATAATGTAGGTACCTAAGGGGAAAAATTATGAGTATATTTAGAGACAATGAGAAAGCCTTCAAAAAAATTCAGCACCACTGATAGTAAAAACATTCAAGAAAATAGGAATTGAGGGATACTTCCTCAATATGCTAAAATACATATAGTTTAGTCCTAAAACCAGTATCCTATTTAATGAAGAAAGACTAGAGGCATATCCACTATGATCAAGAACAAGGGGCGCCTGGCTGGCGCAGTAAGTAGAGCGTGTGACTCTTGATCTTGGGTTTTTGAGTTTGAGCACCACATTGGCGACAGAGATTACTTAAAAATAAAATCTTAAAAAAAAATAAGAACAAGACAAGGATGCCCATTATTTTCACTTCTATTCAACATTCTACTAGATGTCTTAATCAATTCAGTTACATAAGAAAAACCAATTAGATGCACAAGGATGAGTAAAGAGGAAATGAGGAAATAAAACTACCTCTATTTGCTGGTGTTATAATACCCTACCTACATAACTCCAGAAAATCAATGATAAAACTTGATCAGTGATGTAGCAGGATATGAAATTAACATGCTAAAGTCAATAACCTTCACTGACACTAGCAAAGAATTGGAGGAATGAATTTACAAGAAACATAAAAAAAGTAATATGAGGAACATTTTAAAACAGTCTTGAATGACATTAAAGTACACTTGGACAATGGAACAACCTCTCCTATTCTTGGATAGAACAACTCAATGTTATAAAAATATAAAGATATTTTAAAGAAAATATGTAAAGATATTTTAAGTCCTGTATAGAGGTCAGGATTTTTTAACCTCAGCTTACATTTGAGGACAGATAAGTCTTTGCTGTAGGGCTGCCCTGTGTATTACCACCTACCCTTTCCACCACTCACACCCTTCCTCAAGCTGTGACAATCCAAAATGTTTCAAATATGCCTAGATATATATATGCTTAAAGTTTTCATAATAAAATGAAAAATTAAATTTTCCATTTTCTGTCATTCCTTGCAATAAGAGTGAGTAGGTTAATCTTTTTTCCTCTTAAAGATCATATCTAATAAGAGACTTGCAATTTGAAAAGGTTTCTGCACATGAATTTAAACATATCAATATTACAAAGGAGAAGATCTTTAAAAACTTTCACTTTAAAAAAATACTTTCTAAGTAGAAATTAGAATACCTACAGAATTATAAAACTTATGTTTAAATAGTAAATACCAAAGTCTTCTGGGTAACTAAAGACAATGTTAGGTGGATAGTAAGCAAACTATCAAAATTACTTCCCCAAATGATAAGAAATAACTTCATAACTGTGAGACTTCTTTTTTTGTTTGTTTGTTTATTGAAATTTTTATTTAAATTCTAGTCAGTTAACATATAGTGTAATATTGGTTTCAGGAGTAGAATTTCATGATTCTTCACTTACATATAACACCCAGTGCTCATCATAACAAGTGCCCACCCATCACCCACTTAGACCATCCCCCACCCAGCTAACTGTGAGACTTCTAACCAAATCTTTATCTTCAACATTACTTGAGAAAGAAGAAGGAAAATGCCAAAAGTTGTAAAATAAATGTGAGTTAAGAGAGGAAAAAGTAGATATATCAAGGAAGATAGCAGAGTAGGAAGCTCCAGGATTCTGTTTCCCCACCTAGACAATTGAACTGGCAGAATCTGGCTGCTCCAATAATTTTGAAACTGTAGAATCTACTTGAAGGCTGGCAGCTTCTAGGGGAAAGCCTGGTTGATAAATTATAGGTTATTTCAGTCACTAGCAGCCACCCATGCCCCAGGCCCCAGCCCCATGGCAGGCAGCTGTACTGACATTCCTTAGGTGGCTTGCAGGAGCTAGTGTGACAAGAGCCTTCCTGTTCAGTTGTGGATCTGGGTTCTGACTGAGGATTATTGCTTGGGGGCATGGACGTGCCATTGTTGCCCCACTGGCTGAAGCAGCTGCCAGGGGATTTAAGGGACAGATCCTGTCTTCCCTCTACCCTCTCACACTCACATTTTGCCTTTTTCCCACATTGGGGAACCACATATTTAAGTACAAGGACATTCAAAAGTAACCACATACATGGGAAATTTAGAAAGTCACCATACATGCCAAGGTTTTGAAAGATAAAGGCTTGGAAAAGACATGAGAAAACCTTTAGTTTATATCTCAGGCCGGTCCGTGGCACAAAGACACCTGACAACAACAAAAAAATCAGTTCTATATAAAAATATATGTATTCATGTATACAACTACCATTTTTCCCTGTTATAAAGTGATTTTACTGAATTGACTTGGACATACTGTAGGTCAAATAATATTTTCCAAAGATAACAATTATGGACTTTAAAACACGACATAAAATTAGTAGCTTCAATAGTATTAGTCATATTCCCCATCAACAGCATGATAAAATTATTCAATTATGTAGAAATACAGAACTCTAGGACTAGCTGGAAACTTGGGAATTGCTTAGCATAATATTTTCATTTCATGAGAAAACTAGACTCAAAGATTAAGCGATTTACCCAAACTGAAATACCTAATAGTAATAAAGCTGGAAATCAAACCAATTTTTTCCTAAAACTAAAATTTGATAAATATTTCAACTGATTCTCTTTCAGCTAAAAGTTGAGGCTGTTCTCTAATGCTCCTTGCTACTGTGACATGAAAGAGTTCAGACACTACAATAAGTCATAGTCAGGAGATTCAGGCCTGGAAGAGGCTTTATCAAGTAATTAAGCTAGCCTTCTCCTTGTGAAAAGGAGGAAATATATGAGAAGGAAATCACTCTGGGGAAGGGGGAGAATCTAATTCCCAGACTTAGGACATTATAAAACTCAAATGTCTAGTTTGCAACAAAAAAATCACAAGGCACTTAAAAAAAAAGATATAACTCATTCAAAGCGACAAAATAAATAGACAAAAACATCTATGAGGAAGAGAAGATGGTGGGCATACTACACAAAAACATTTAAACAGCACTTTTCAAGATGCTCAGGACAGCTAAATAAAGATATGGGTAAAGGTCATGAAAATGATTTTAAAAATGAAAATATCAATAAGAGATAGAAAATACAGAAAGAAACCAAAATGAAATTCTGGAGTTGAAAACTGCGGTAACTGAAAATTTCACTAGAGAGATTAAAAAATCAAATTTCAGCAAGCAGAAGAATCAGTGTACTTGAAGACAGGCCACTAAAATTACTGAGTCTGAGGAAGAGCAACAACAAAAAATACTAAAGAAAGTGAACAGAGCCTAAGACCTGTGGGACACCAAGTGAACCAAAATAGCATTGTGGAAATCCTGAAAGGGAAAAGGAAAAGGGGCAGAGATTATTTGAAGACAATGGCTGAAAACTTCCCAAATTTGATGTGAGATATGAATCTACAAATTTATGAAGTGTAATGAACTCCAAAAAGGATAAAGTCAAAGAGACCAAGACTGAGACACATTATCACCAAACTGTCAAAACCCAAAGCCAAAATGAGAATATTGAAAGCAGCAAGAGAGAAACAAGACTCATAACATATAAGGGTCTTCAATAAGATTATCAGATGTCTCATCAGAGACTTTGGAGGCCAGAAAGTATCGAGCTGATATAGTCAAAGTCCTAAAAGAAAAAAAAAAACTCTAAAAAGAGAATTCTCTATTTGGTAAAGCATCCCTCAAAAATGATAAAGAAATTAAGACATTAAGACATTCCCATGCTGAGGGGCGCCTGGGTGGCTCAGATGGTTAAGCGTCTGCCTTCGGCTCAGGTCATGATCCCAGGGTCCTCGGATCGGGTCCCGCATCGGGCTCCCTGCTCCTTGGGAGCCTGCTTCTCTCTCTGCTTCTCCCTCTGCTTCTCTCTCTCTCTCTCCCCCTCTGTCTCTCATGAATAAATAAATAAAATCTTTAAAAAAAAAAAAAGACATTCCCATGCTGAGGGGGTTTATGACTATTAGACCTGCCTTGCAAGAATTACTAAAGAGAGTCCTTCAAGTTGAAATGAAAGGACGCAAGGCAAAGTGATACAAAATAAAGATCTCTGGTAAGAGTAAATGCATGGTCAATATAAAAACCAGTATTATTGTAAGTTTGGCTTTTAACTCCACTTTTTATTTTCCACATGATTTAAAAGACAAATGCAAATAAGGCACACAATGTATAATGATGCAATTTATGACAACTGGAAAGGGATGAGGATGGAGGTATACAGAAGCAGAGATTTTGTACATTATTGTACTTAAGGTAGTATAAATTCAAATGAGAGTGTTATTAGTTTAAGATGTTAAACATAATCCCAATGGTAACCAAAAAGAAAATTCGGTTAAGCATCTGCCTTCGACTCAGGTCATGATCCCAGAGTCCTGGGATCAAGTCCCGCATCGGGCTCCCTGCTCTGTGGGGAGCCTGCTTCTCCCTCTCCTCCCCACTTGTGCTCTATCTCTCACTATCTCTGTCTCTCTCTCTCAAATAAATAAAATCTAAAAAAAAAAAAATTAAAAAAAAGAAA